AAGAACTCTCCAGTTTCTAAATGACCATTCTGTTGAATATCCTTTTTTGGTGTATGACTTTATTTGCATATAATAAGGTAAAAAATTAAGGAGATTGTTGTTTCATATGCCTCATTTTAAAACAATCCAGGATATTAATTTTTTTTTGCTTTGGTTTATCTTTTCATATGTAGAGTTACTGGTTTTTTAAAAGGCATGCTTATTTTCACCTACTTACCAACAAAACAACAAAAAAAATACAACTAGTTGCTTATGGCCATCTATCCCATTCCTCATCCTAATGTTAATGCCATTGATGAGTTCAGCTGTATGGAGAGCGGGGTTGATTCTGTAAGCAGTTGGGAACAGGACTGGTTCTGCTTTGAGGATGTGTGAACGAAGGTAAGAAGCACAGTGCTCTTCTGATCTTTGCCTGATTCGAAGTTCCTCACTGTGTCCGTGTCATTCTACTGGAAAAATCATAACAGTGGTGTGGGATTTTTTGGTCTGGGTTCTGATGTGTTTGTGAAAGTTTTCCCCATTGATTACTGTTAACTATCTATTAGCTGTTAGCTACTGTTGGCTACCTATTGCAAACCCTTTCTGTCTTGTTCTGATATTCCCTTGTGTACTGTAAGTTGGAGAAGAATTATTATTCTTTGAATTTTCGGTGGATTGAGAAGAAGATTAAAAATAAAAGATGATTATTTTTGCTGTGACAAAATATTTAAAGGTATGCAGCAGGGAATAAACGATCAGAGCTCATAAAAGCATTCCACTGGGAAATCCTCTGCTATTTTAAAATAAAAACAGCTTTTTAGTAATTTTCTAGAGAAGATTGGTAGGCAAGCAAAGGGGAAGGCAAGTAGAATATGACAACCAAAATAATTTTATTTCTCTACAGAACTCTAATCATATAAGAAGAATTCTAATATGTTTTTGTCGGTAGAAGGATGACATTCCATAAGTTAATTTTGCTTAGAGAAAAATCACGCGATGTTTACTTTTCTGTTTCTTTGACATACCATTGAACAGCCAGCTGAGGATGTTGTGGCTGTGCATGCCTCTGGGTTCTCAGAATTAGGACTGGGAAGGACTTGAAAGTGAAACGTTACTAAAAAATGTCACAAAAACAGAAGAGGAGACGTTGATTTAATTAATAAGATTTATGAAGAGACTGATGAGCTCCCTCCTCTTTTATAGGATATGCTTATTGCTTCAGTAGGGTTCAAAACATAAAAGTAACCAAAAATTTTAACATGGTGCATCTAACTTACGGTGTCTGCGGATTTGTGCCTATATGTATACTTGCTGAAATAATCAGCCTCATATTTCTCTTAAAGCCAATAAGCATTTAATGTTTCATACTGGGTTACGGAGGCTTTCGGAGGCATTTATTCATGTGCTGACTCTCAAGGATGGAGGGTCAGTGATGAAAATGATACTTTTTCCAAGGCTGAAATGTCGGGATAGTTTTAGTTTTCAAATTACTCGAATTATATTTGCAGTAAATGAGTTTCTGCTCATGAAATAGACATAATAATGTCAGGATCTGGAAAGGATGAAAAAGTAGATATTTAATAACCCAAGCTCTCCTGAAGAATAAAATTGTGATGAAATTGTATTTTTCTTGGCAGAAACTTCCTAACTCTTGCAAGACCATTTTCAGATGCTCGGTCCCCAGTGCATCGTCACCATGTAAAGCAGCGCTGCCTCCATAAATACGCATCTTAAGCCTCACTGGAAACGTTTAAGGACGAGGAAAATAGAAATTAACCAGAATGCAAATGCCAAAAGCAGATACAATTATTTTTCAGTGGAAATAGTTGTAGCAGGAGTTCCGAGAGCAGCAGCTATTCTGCTTAGCTGGGTGGGGTTGTACAAAGACAGCTTTAATGCCGGTTCGCTTCCGCGTGATGTTGTATTAGTTAAGTTTAAAATTGTGTTCCCTGGCAAACCATAAAAGATTTCGAAAGTATTAGACACCCACTTTTGTGCTGGAATTTAATATGCAACTTTTTATTGGAAAATAATCGTCCTTGTCTGGCAAAATCCACCATGCAATATTTCTGTTAGTAGGCATAATGCAATAAAGACAGGGAGGGCTATTTATCACTACAAATTTTGAGGATTTCAGGATTCTTTTTATTATTTTAATATATTTCTTTGGTATTAAATCAGAAAAATGATAAATTACACCTGTCGACGCTGTTTTTCTTTTTTCCCAGAAAATGATGTACAACCCAATTTCACTGGTCATTTTGGCTTTTAAAGATATGTATTTTTTTCCTATAAAAAACTCTACCAATAGTTTTTTTTTTTTTAATAATAATACTGAAGTACTTTTTATTTCGAACATATGAAGTAGTTTATAACTACTTCCTGGCATTGCAAACTTTGGCCTTTTCACATTACATTAGTTTTTTTAAACGGCACTGGGTATGTATTGCTGTGAAAGAAGCAGGATATTGTTCAGATGCTGGATCCAGTGGATCAATTTTCGGTATTTGGTATGGATTAAACTGTGGCTAGCCTGAAAGGTTAAAATAATAATTTATTTAATTTCAATACTTGTCCTGTAAGTCAATCAGCTTCTTGACAGCCTTTGAAATTGGGTTATTTAGCGTTGGGTTTTTCTTGGTGTTTTTAACTGTCCTTTTTTCCTTCTTTTTTCTTTTTATTTTTGAATGATTGTCTGTGATTAAAAGCACAACGTTATGCCTGTAACTCTGTGGTACAATAGGAAAATTTAACAACTAAGGAAAAACATAAAACATTATTAACAGCAAAGGCAACAAATGATTTGAGCTGGTGTCATGGTTTGCATTACTTTCACAATTATTACAGGTTTGCATATTTTGAAATATATTAGCCCAATTTGATTTCAAAGCTCAGTTATTTGAATTATAAATCATTATGTCCCTCCTAGCTGATCAGTCCTGAAATATCTTTGAATTAATTTACATAATGGAATGTTAGTCATTCCTTTATGTCTTGGAAGCCATCGTGCTCCCTCATGCACGTTCAGTTCTCTCTAATAATTAACTTTTCCCCTGTACGTTTCTGTATCAAAATACTCACAGTTTCATTTTTGCTTTGCACAGGGGCACAGGTTGAAATATTTCTGAGAGACTCTCAGTTCTTTATCCATGTCTTTGTTAGCCTTACAGTGCTATGGAAGGTGCTCTCCCTTAACAGGAAAAAATGAAGTAAACTGTAGCTCTGCAATATAAAAACATGAAAGTGCTGTAGATTGACAAAGAATCATCTTAAAACTAGATTAGGGGATTTTCTAATAGCAGCTATGAAACCTATTGGTACACTTTTATCCATTTAAAAAGAATTTAATCCATTTAAAATGAAAAGGGAAATTGTTTATTCCTGTAAAAGTAATCCAACGCTACAACCAATTATGTGCAAGAATGGCAGAGTGCAGCGCATGGAGAGGAAAACAGAGCAGCAGTAAGAGTTATGGCTGTTTGGCATACATGAGTATGTGCTCTCCTGTAAAGTTATACAGTTGCATACTATTATTTCCTAAATAATCAATGCCAAGGATAAATAGTATTCAGTGAATGACTCCCATTTTTATAGTGCTTGTGAAGCGTGCAAACCCGTAAGTCCTTTTATTTCATGCTTTTGATGCATGTCTCTGCTTCTTGCAGTTTTTTTAATGATATTTTGGAAAAAGTGCCTTAGTGCCCTTGGATACATCGCCGTGGAACTGAAACACTGGGATTTAAGTGACTTGCTGAAAGTTATCCAGCGATTTTATTTCAAGTGCAGGAGAAGCAGCAGTTAGCAAATGTAGGCCATCGCTTTGCCCCTTCTCTCACGTGCAGGCGTCCCTGAAGGCAGCTCCACCTGCAGCACAAAGCTGTGCCTGCAGTGCAATGGTGGCCAACGTTATCTCCTTCCTCCAAGCCCAGATGTTTGGATCATTTGAGATAGGATTTAGCGTGTCGTCATGTTGTTAAAGATGTTTGTATCCATGCTGCTGGCAAAGGATTCAAGCTGTGGAACAAGTCTTGACCCCCTTACCTGTAAGAGCTTCTGCAACTTAAGCTTTGCAAGTTCAGCTTCCGTGTTCATACGAAATAGGCTATCTTTTGTGTTACCTAGTGCATCCCCCTTGGAGCCATTTTTCATGCAAGCAAATGCAGATGTGCTGAGCCCAAGATGGGGCTGCTTTTGTCCAGAGCTGGAGAGCTTTACGAGTGCCATGGAGAGACCAGCACCGTGCGGCCATCCTGCCACAGTGCTGCCCTGCTGTCTCACCGACACGAGACACGAGACTCTCCTAAGAAATTTATATTCAGTTCTAATACATTTGAAAATACTTTGTTTTAGTGTTTAACATAGCTTAGTATGTATGAGATACACATTTATCTGTGGTAACTGAAGCAAATGAGACAGGCCCGTAAGACTGCCTCTGTGGTTCAGCAGCTGTGAGGTCAATGCTGCTTAGGGCTGCTGCCAGTCCATTGCCCAGTGCCCTTCTTCAACACAACCAGTTGCAAAGCTGCTTCTATTGTGCTGATAACTTGGGGCTGAGGGAAAAAATTAATGTTTCTTATCAGAATCTCTGTTTAATTATATAAGAGTAATTTCATTCGTCTCTTCTGTGACTAGAATATATGCCACGAAAAGTAATTGCTTTAATTAATAATAGATTATGGTCTTTAATGTTCTGAAGAACATCTCCATGATGTATTTTCAGTTGAAATTCAAGATCTCCTTCATTTAAATTTGTTGTTGTTTCAGTTGGGACTTTTTTCTCGCTAAAAAATCCTGCAGGTTTGTACAACCTGATTACGTAGCAGCGATGTGGCAAGGTTGGTATTTCCTTAACACCTGCTGCTGATAGTTTCCTAAAAAGACCTGTGAAAACAGATGCTGTGAAATTCGTGCTTCAGAATCACACAGTAAGTTCTTACAACATTAAGAAATGTTGAGTCTGTATTAGATGTTGTAGAACACATGGCTTTTCATACACTTCTGTTTTAACAGAGTAAGCATTTCCCTTCCTTGGGCTTCAGTGGTAATTACAACATCAGTGACCTCTGGTGCTGGACAATATTCTGTACTGCTCTCACTCCTCTTCTCATGGTAAATTTAGGTAAGATCCTCCTTAGGTGTCCCTGCAATGCCTTGGTGTCTTGTTAAGGATTTGTAATGCTATGAATTTTTATGGTAATTCAACCAATTAAACAGCAGTTTAATTGCATAGTAAATATTTGTTTATATTTAAATCACTGCCTATCAACTTGAGAGATTTATGGCATTAAGCAGTAGCAGCATATGTGTTGCCTTCTGTTGGAGAAATAACGAAGGCAAGTTGGGTGTTTTTTTCTTTTTGCACAGCATTTCCTAATAGGAGACATTTACAAAAGAAGGGCCTGAATAAGTGCTTTGAATTTCACGGCGATGTACTGATTGTGCCAGAACAGTTTCAGGTAGAAGTTTTGTTTATTTCATTTATTCATGCAAGTTCTCAGTATACAAAGACTGTGAGTTCAGTAAGAGCATTGGTCAGAGTTCTGCAGTTCAGCCTGCAGCACTTAGGGTTGTATCTTGAGTTGTCCTTTAGAAGTTAGAGAGTTCAGACACGTAAAACTCAGAGCACACATTAATAGCTAGATGCAAGGGTGCGTTCAGTCACTTTGAATCCTGCCACTGCCTTTTGCCACCTGAAGAAAATGTGAAGCTCCATCTGCATTCCTGTTTCTCTTTTGTCTGGGTTGAGGAGGTTGAGGTTGTAAAAATGGTCACTGCAACAAACCATGTGTTAGAGAAGCTGATAGTGAATAACGAACACATCGTGACTCAGACTGCTTCTGGTCAGAGGCCCAGAGCTGATCAGAACTGTGGGCCTGTATCAGCTGGGGATCCACCTTACAGAATGCTTTTTTGGGGGCAGGCGTCTGTAGATGTTCTAAGATGGGGCTGCTGACGAGAGCTTTCAAAAAATAATGCACCAAGTCTTTCATGTACTGATTGCTAATCCTCACACAAGAACTGGCAACGTGCAGGAGAAATTGGCACAAAGCTGTAAGTCAATAGCAGTTGATATCTCCTTTGATGTTAATGGGTGCCTGTACTGTCTGCTGCTAAACACTGGTGAAAATAGTTGAGTTGGAGACAACACCAAACTGTAGTCATCAGCTTTTTCTTAAAGAATGGTAGCTGTGACCTGGACCTGTCTTTTCTTGGCTAATGTCATATTAACATAAGCAGTAGTAGATAACGTTTTCTAGGTTGCACATACAGATTCAGGGACATTTCCTGTAGGTGAAAAAAAAAAAAAAGTGTAAGAACAAGACTGTAAGTATTAAAAACAGCACCAGGTCACAGGTGGTGTAAACATACATCAGACAAAATGCAGGCATGTTACTTATAACTGGTTACAAGGGAATAAAGGCCCTTCTGATTCTCCTGTATTTACATCTTCACACGATCTGATGTGGAGCTTCTCAAAAAGACATGCGTCAGTCTGTTGGCTGTTGTCCTTTTTGTTCCTCCTGAAGTTAATTTGGAATTGAACTGGTAGAAAAGCACATCTGGAGCAACAAACAAGTCTAAATTTGCATTTTGGGATTCAAATTAAAAAAAAAAAAAAGCAGAGCACACAGTGTATTGTGCTTTCTATACGTATATATTGTTTGCACAAGAATTAAATGGCAGCATTACGTGAATCAAGGGATATTAACAAACTGTGCCTCGTAGTATTTTTAGACCAAAAAGCATTGTACCAAATGTCTTCTCCTGCTTTTTCAAGAGTTTATATCAAATCTTTTTATGTGATGTATCTAAACAATTTATGAAGGAATAAAACTGGGATGAATTTTCATTGATGAATTGTTCTGAGTAAAAGTTTGTTGCAGAAATGTTCTTGGAGATTAATCAAATACAGTACATGGAGAATATTTACCTCTTAAGCAACGTGCTCCTGAAGTGACTGGCAAAATATGACTGTAGTGGGAAAAACAGTAACATATTAATTATCATTTGCTTTAAAATGTGCTTTGGATTCTGTTGAATAATTTTAACGTTGTATAATCAGACTAAAAAATCTTTGTATCCCAGATTGTCTTTGTAATAATTTTGGGGAGGGCAATTTAGAGCTGCACCGTTTTGTCTGACTGGCTCCTGGTCCGAGATTTCTAAAGCAAACAAAGTATTCTGTTGTGTGAATTATAGAGTAACGAAAACTAATGCAGAAAACGCCAGTAAAAGGTGTGTTTAAAAGTTCTTAAATAAGGGTTAGTAAATTTTTATCACTTCTTTTTTCATTGCTCAAGACAGCAGATCTAAACTGTAGAATATGCCTTCAGGATCTCTTCTGCATGATTTGTCAGCATCCCGTACTTACAGGTATATGTAGTCGTGCCCAGTGCAAAACCTCTCCAAGGAAAACAGGTTTAAATATTGCCTTAAGCCACACGTGGGCCTGATGTAATGAACATAGGACATTGAGGATGTGTTTGTGTAGTTTGAGTTTCAGCAGATGAACCATGGTAGATTTGTTAAGCATAGGTTCTTTCCTTCCTAATTAGTACTGCAGTGATCACTGGATGTGGATGCTGCTTATAGGAGAATGTGAAAGAAATCTTTAGGTAATAATTCGGTGTGTAATTAACAGGAGGTTTATAAAGAGATGGAAAATAACATGAACAGTAATTGTTTAACTTCTAGGAGGGTAAGAGGAGGCTCAAGCTTGTTGGTGAGGAGAACAAAAACTAGTGCTGCATTGGAACTGGCTGAGGAAAGGAGACAGAAAGAGCTGGATGAATGCTATGGAACGACTGTAAGAGGGAGGGGACAAAAGGCCTCAGGAAAGGCAAATAAGGCTGAATCAGGTCAGCAGAAAGTGGTGGAGAGAAGATTGTGGAGGAGACAGTCAAAGATGGATGGGATTTAAGTTCTGTTTCCCAAAGTCCACCAAATCCTATTGCTGCCAGCAGTGGCTTTGAAATCCGACGCAGTGTCTCAGCTTCCTTTGTTCTGCATGGGCAGGATGGAAGGTACAGAAGTCATCAGTTACTTTGCTAGTTTGAGAAAGTTCTTGAGCATAGTTTGTGATTTGAAGGTCCTGATTCATCAGCTGTTGTCAATGAATGCAGCAGCAGCAGCAAGTTATTGAAAGTGTTTCCTTTGCTTTATAAAAAAACTCCAGAAAGCTGGGCATGAAAGCCCTGTGTGAAAGGAAGCAGTTCAGGTCACAAAGCCAAGTAAGTATTCAGAACTGGGAAAGTGCTGTGACTAAGATGACCTGTGGAACATCCATTTCCTCTCCACTGTAAATACATACACTGCTATGAGACAGCTTTAGTTGCAGGTTCACAATTATTCTCTCAGAGGAGTTTGCCTCTTTCAGTTCAGATGATGTGTCATCCTTAATGAGTAACTACTGAGTATTTTGTTTTTCTGTGATGTTACCTGGGTTTGTTTGTTAGTCCACTTTTTGCTTTCTGTTGGGAAGACAGAAGTTTTCTGTTTTGGGATAAATTATTTGGTCCATGAGAAAAGAGGTTGGAATTAGACCCATTTTGCAGATGGATATATGAAACGTAGAAGCAAAACTTTAAAGTTTATTCTACATTTTTTTCAACTAATTTGGTACATGGGAGACTCCACTGATCTTTAGCTCTGACTTACAGTACGTCTGTTGTATCCATCAGTTGCCCAGGAAATACTAGTTCAGAATAAATGGTATTGTTGAAGGTAAGAGAATGAAAAGATCCCAGTGTTGGATCAAGGAGAAGTCTAGGCCAGGTGCTGTCTTGGGCACTGACCATTGATAGGTGCTCAAAGCAGGAGTACAAGTGTTTCCCCTGAATCCTTTCCTAGATTTGATTTGCCAGTTAAAAGAGAAGTGAGAGGAGTCCTATAGCAAAGCTCTTTAAAGAGCATAAATTAAATTTCTACTCTTAATTGACCTGGAGAGGATGAGTGCATGCGGCAGGAAGACTACCTGCATTAGAGAGCTGAACTTAAGTAGCATGAGTACCAATTCCCATGCAAATTGCCATTTGTAAAAAATGTGTTGTTTATAATTACATTTTCAGCACTGTAACAGGGCAACGAAACAGTCTAATGAAGACAACCTTTTATGCCTTTTCCCACAACATTTTCTTTCATTTGCTCCAACTTCACACCTCTGAAACAAGCAAGGCGATGGTGCTGCACAGGTAACCCCAACACAGTCCAGATTTATTTCTGTGACGGCTTCATCCTGTATACTGAGTATGTAGGAGGTAGAAAAAACAGCATTTAATCATAAAAGATCCTGGTTTAAATGAAATATGCTCATGGGAGAGTCTGACTCACTGTTGCAGCCTTAAATCTAACATTTTCAAACTGTTGAGTCTTGATATCTTAGGTGAGTGTTGTTCTGTGCTGCTGAGCGAATGGTGTCTGATGAACAGAGGAAACAAAAGGAGGAAGGTGTGAAATGCAGAGACATGCCAGTCTCAGTTACAAGTTGTTTGCGACCAACTACTTGTCATTTATTTACATCTCATTTAAAAATATATGTGTGTCAAATGTCGGATTTCTCTTCTTGTAGTGCTGATGAAAGTTCCGGTGATGTCAGTGATATTTTATTGTGAAAGCTTAAGAGACTGACCCTCCTGGAACAATGGTGTGAATATGATGGGATCCTTTTCTGTTTTTTGTCTCTTTTCCTGTAGGTGAAGATGAGAATGAGTTTAAGAATTTCATGCTGCCCCTCACCGTTTCATTTGAGAGTGTGACTCAGATGCTCAACAGCAGTTTAGAACAAGAAGAGGCAAAGGTAGGTTTATTTCAATTACAGGGAAATAAATTATTGATGGAAAAGACTTATGGTAGGGCAACTGTTCAGCCACAGATTGTCATCTCTGCTCTCTTTCTGTCTGTTGAAATGTATATACCTGTATATTGATATATTAATACTTGTATGCATATGTGGATAATGAAGTATGTAGGCAGTGGAGATACAAAGGCCATGAGTGACTGTCATGAAAGAAACTTTGTACAAATATTTGATAAAGACTTTGGGATTTCAGTGCTTTATGGATCAAGTGACCTCGTTTGAGTTCCATTTGTAATCAGAGGGGAAATGTTAATTCATTGATA